AACACACACCTGTGCCAGGGGAAGCACTAAAATACTCCACTCAGCACATCAGAAGAGCCATGAGGACACATACTTACTCATGTGCACACACACACACACACACACACACACACACACACACGTGCGCACAACAAAACTCCACACAGCCCACTTGTGTTGACAAAAAGGAAAGGACTTTTTTCTCTCTGTAGCCAGTTTCTGGAGGAACTCCCAGTCTGTAATGCTTATCTCACAGACCGCGAGAGTCCCTGCACGTTTAGCCGTGCATGAGCTTACGTGTGCTTGTGTGTGCTGTCTTTTGGAACATACATCTCAGAACACAGTGTCACCTGATAACCATAATTTTGCAGCCTGTGCAAATGCTAGCGGTGTGTTATCTTCTCGTTCATGCTTGCAACCTTAGTTAAGGTCAACATTGCACTTTGGAATGATCAATTGAACACACGATTCTGACTGCAGTCTCTTAGGACTGCATACCAACTGCCTGAACCATTTTCCTGTAGGTCAAGTTAACAAGGAATCAGAGTTTAATATTGCCCCTCTGGTCAAATTCTGGTCTAATCAGAGTCATTTCTGTGGCAACCTTAGTGAATGCATTTGTGTTCCTGGACACCAACCTGCTTTGTACTGACGAGGTGGTGTAGCCGATGAGCTTGGTAGACTTTGGCTGTTTGCTCCTTCACCATTGCTAGACAGTCTCTCTCTCTCTTCTGGAGTTCCTCGAGCTCGTCCAGCTCCCTCCTACAGGCCACACGAAACATACACACACATTTTGGCAATTCAGATTCTACACTTACACTGAATTTATTTGCATTATAGGTATTCAACCGGGATCAATCAAATCTAAATACTGGCATTTTAATGACAATGTGTACAACAAATTAATTATTTTTTTCATCATTTAAAATATCTAGAATATAATTTCACTGCTTCATAAGTAACCAATCTAAATCATATTGGAGTAATAGTTAAGCACATTCATACATTCATGCACTTCTGAACGACAACAACTGACTGGACACTACTCCTAAATAATACATTTTTGTTGTATTAACTTAATTTTCATAATACCTTTATCAGAGCAAATTAACATGCTACCTTATCTGGAGATGCAGCTGACCTTATAGCTTTACACTCTATCAATCAAAGACTTATCCACAATGTAAACCTCATGCAAGTACATCTGTACATGTGTTAGTGTGTATTGGGAACACAGCCGTCTGTTGTAAAGCTGACAATTCCCTGAAGTGTCCTTCAGATGCATAAAAAACTGCCTAATCACACTGGGACAGATACGGAAAGACGAAGGAGTTGTGGGAGAAAAACAAGAGAATGAGACTGCATGGAAGGGAAAAAAAAAAAAAAGCAAAGGGAGAGCGTGAGAGGCTATAAGTGGGAGGATGATGGATATATTTCATCACCGCAGCCAGGACAGGTCTGTCTGTGACATCTGTTAAGCGAAGCTGGCTAAATGGGATGCATTAAAACCCCATACACAGCAATTTCATTCCACAATCACACAGCCTTATTGTTACAAGGGGGGTAATAACTTAAAAGGGGAAGTGGAAACAATTACTACAACACACATGCCATGATAATGTGAAAACACGCACACAAAGCTAAGAGTAAAACCAATCTAATTCCACAACTGCAATACCAATAAGAGTTTAGACACAGCTCATCAACAATCCCGCGTCTCTTTTTTTTTTTTCTTCCATTTTATCCTCGCTTTTTCCTCTAATTCTTCCCCACTGTTTCTTTAACTACCCAACTTCTGTTTTCAATTACAAGCCTCCACGGAGAAATCAGGATATTCAAAATGTGTCTGTAATGTGAGGTTAACACATTCTGCCGCAGCTGACATTTAAAAAGAAATCACAACACATTCCCATTGCCTTTGCATTCTCATTCCTTCCTCAGCGCCGGATTAAATTACAAAATAAATGAAATATGCAGAGCGCCGTGCCATGCGTGTGTGTGGTAAGAAAAAGAGCAAGTCTAAATGTGTGTTTATGTAACATTAAGCACAGTAATTTAATACAGTGTGTAGGGGTGTGTGTGAGTGTGTAAATATTGAGGTTGCCTGGCCTCTATTTATCCACCTGCCTAACAGGGATATTACTTATTAATGTAAAATATAAAGTTTTGCTTCATTGCGGGATAGTCTGGTTCACAAACCAATTGGTGGATGTGTATATATCTGTATGTGTGTATTTCTGTTCGCTTATGCATTAATAGCGCCTTAAAAAAAACTGACAGGCAATGTTTTGGGGGGTCGGGACCTCTGTCTGTATGTATCTGAGCTCAGAGAGTTTAAGCGGGACTGTATCAGTGTGTGTGTGTGTGTGCGCGTGTGTGTGTATCAGAAATATGTATACGTCTATCAGCGTTCATTCTACATGTTCAGACACTTTGCCTGAATGTGTGTTCGTGTGTGTGTGCGTGAGTGTGTGAGTGTAGGTCAGGCTGAATGGGTGACCTTTGCTTCCCTGCCCCCAGCCCCAGTGTTATTAATTGCTGTGTAGTGGACAAAAGCCAAACAGATTTGTAACGGCTGAAGGCACCTCGATCTGTGTCGACCCAACCAGCCGCCACAACATACAACCCTCATTAGCCCTGTTCGGCAAGCGGTACATGCCCTCTGTGTGTGTGTGTGTGTGTGTCGATGTGTGTGTGTGTTTGACTGAGTGAAAGTAAAAAGAAAGGAAGAAACACAAGCTTTTATTTTAGGTTGTACCTTCTTTTGGTTACGTCTGGTTCATTCACCTAAGATGGGAGGGAATCACCTAAGTTGATGCATCATGGCAAAAAAGCTAACTATTGTGATAGCACATAAATATAGAACATCTGTTCAGAGTAGGTAAAGCGAAACCCAATTAAGGCTATAACTTTATTGTTATATATTCAGATTACAGACATTTCATTGATTGACTAAAGTGTTTTAAATCATTATGAAGGCATGAATGTGTCTTCCATGAGAGAGCAGGTTAGGAAGCAAAATTTACCTGTGAGTTTACGATGATTAATTGATAAAAAAAAATTTAAAAACACATATTTTTGTTACCACGACCACTCATTAAGCCCTAGCTGCTGTTTAAGCTCATTACTGAGGTTTCAACAACAATCAACGCCACATTTCCTCTTCACAGCTTTTGAGACACTAAGTTTCAAACTTAGAACAACACATTTTTCTCTCTTTAGATTTTTATTTATTTATTTATTTTTGATTGTGATCTAAACCCCAGAGCAGCAGCCTAATACAGCTTGGTTTTGCTAAAAATGTAAGTTCCTGACAGTACTAACCACATGCACAGTGCTAACAACAGTAGTCCAAATTTAATGATTGTTATTTTAGAAGTGATGCTATAATTAGGAAGATCATGACACCTTAATGGCTGGCCTTCGTAGTCAGTAGCAGACCCAGTGAGCATTCGTTGTGTTAATGTATTTAGTTTTTAGTTGTTTTAGTATTTTTAAATTTAATGAATATCAAATACTGTAATGATTTTTGTAGCCCAATCCATTTTTTAATTTTAATTTGAATATATATGTGAAACACTAACAGTAATTTGATGGAATCCTTTTGTAAGGTAAGAGTATGAGGCTACAAGTGACTACATTAGACTATCTGTCCAGCTGATATATCAGATCCAATATTCAGATTTTTTCGATATATCTGTCTTGGTTGTTTTTTTTTTTTAACTGATGCTGATTTCCTTTAGCTCTAATGCAGTTGGCTCTCTCTATCCATTGTCAACAATCTGTGGTTTCACGTCATAGCCCACCCACAGTACTAGATGATGGCTAGATGACCTATTAATACTGAAGGATAAATGTTGGAAAGCTCTCTTTTAATGAAACATATGTAACATATAAATAAACAAAAGTATTTCTATAAACTTATGTGTTGGAGTTCAAGTTATTCTGAATTTTGACACTAGTATTTTTGAATTTTTGCTATAGGTGTATATCGATTCCAAATATCAGTTATTTGCCAGTGTCGGTATCAGCCCTGAAAAAAACACATCGTTCAACCTCCAGTTAGCATGTCGGTATATTAGATTATGCTGTCGTTCATTTGAGATTCAATGTATGATAAAATGTAGATTACAGTTGGGTTACTTTTGCACATGATAGAATTATTTTAACATTGCATGCACATTTTAATGATTGGGCACTTGTAATGTGCTTAGCATGTCATATAATAGGGTACAAGCACTCTGACTGCAGATTACTTCTGATGGCTGCTGAACTGTTGGACAAGCTAATCAAACCCACTTGAACTACTTTCAAATGATTGAAACCCTTGCTGACATTTTCACCCTGGACTTTTAACTTATTTAAATGGCTAATATAGTACAGCTACATTTCTCACTTCTCCCTCAATAATTTACTCCGTGGTTCACAACAGGGCATCAAGGACTGATGGGATATCAGAGAGTGAGGCATTGTGGGACAGCGGGCCACACCTGCGGTCGTCCAGGCCAGCACCAGAGCAGCTAATTGGCCAGATCCTAAATATTTAATGGAGGCTTGACCTGATTGGCTGTTTTAATTGCTCCAATTGAATGATTCAATAGCTGGCAAGCAAGGGGGGTAGTCAGCTAGTCAATTTAGACAGTGACCGGCTCAATGTATCGAGCCTTCAACACCCTCATAACACAGCCTTTTCACTTAAGTGACTAACTGATTGACTGAATTCGCTAAAGTAGTAAAACTGGTGTCATGAAAAGAAACCGATGATTCCAGCGTTGAATATAAACCCGATCAATACTCCTAAAATAAAAAACATTTCCTTTTTTTTTTTTTTTTTTTAACCCGATCAATACTCCTAAAATAAAAAACATTTCCTTTTTTTTTTTTTTTTTTAACATCTTACACACTTTTCCTCCATTGTTTCGCTCTCAAAAGTAATTTTCTAAAGAGACAGGGAGAGCAGTGCACCCAAATTATACTTCAACAGACACACACACACCACACTGAACATACAAATCCAATCAGACTGAAGGAGTGAACTTGTCTGCACCCAAACTGGATCAGAAGGAAAGAGCAGCAAAAAAGAAAGAACGAGGCACAGAAGCAGAGAGTGATCGCAGGGCAGGCCCGCACTCTCTCCACCATAGCAGCTCCCCTTTCATGAATGTCCTTGAGAGGGACACGAGAGAGGGAGGAATGAGGAAGGCTGGAGTAAAGGGAGACAGGAAAAAAAGTAGAGAGAGAAAGAGAGACAGAAAAGCACCCAAAGAAAAGAAAAGAAAAAAAAAACACAAAACACTGTGCTGCTCAGCCCAGTGACAGTCCATAAATTCTTTCTGAGCCTCCTTTTCTTGTACTCTTTAGGAGAAGTTAAAACTATTTTTGCCATGTTGTTGCAACATCAAGGGAGAATTATTTATCTGATTATGGCAGTAATAATTACCCAGCTGTTTATTGCAGATAGAGGAATAATTCATGCAGTCAACAGGCCGTGGTCGTGGCGGTAGCGATGACACCAGCACATTTAGTAAATATGCAAAGCGGGCTTGCTCCGCTTTCCTAATTGCCCCCATCGTCCCACTGCATGCCCTTATTAAAGCCCAGGAACTTTAAGTGTCTCCCTGACAAAGTGATAAATTGTTGGGGTATCAAGGAAAACTGTGGCAGAGTGGGGACTGCGCTGGGGTCCTGACTTCATTAGGCTATGCAGAAGGAGAGAAAGGATGAATGAGGATGGACATGGAAGCACAGTGAACCTATGGCAGCGAGAGAGAGAGGAAGAGAAAAGATATAGAGCAAAATAGATTGAGAAAGAGAAGGAGAAAGAGAGAGACGAGAGGTAGAGATTAAGGGAGGGAGGTTGAGAGGGGGCAGCAGATAGAAGAGGATGGTGTAAGTGGCATGGATTAGTTGGATGCTGTACCTAATGAAATGACACAGATGGTTTTGTGCTGGGAGATCTGTCATGAGAAAAAGAGACTGAAACAGAGACTCCGAGTGAGAAAGGACGGAGCGGTTTGGCAGTGTATGTATTACTCCTATATCATTACCATGCACAGCTGATCAGCCTTCACTAAATGGGGACCATTAGTCCAACTTTGAATAATTTATGCAGCGGTTTTGGACAGACAGACAGACTTACAGAAGGAGGAGGCAGGCTGGTGGATTAAAAAGCAGACCTTTGCGGGGTGAGTGATCAGGCGCTATGCGATCCGAGGGCTCAGCAGCTAACACGAAAAGGATATTTTAAATAAATGCCGGCACGGCGTTAATTGATCGTGACCCCAGCAGCACTAAATAAACATGTGATTAACTGGAGCGAAAGTGACCTCAGAACCCCAAACCACTGTGGAGGAGGGGCTGTGTGTGTGTGTGTGTGTGTGTGTGTGTGTGTGTAAAGACAGAGGGGATGTCACAGAGTTGATAGCAGAACAGTGAGACTAAACCTGTGAGATGAACATCATATAGCTCATTTAGGTGCTTTTTAGAATTCCTTACCAACGGATTTCTGTGATAATTTCAAATTCTGAATTGTTTTCAGAGAATACCACATAAAAAAGAGGTAGGCAGAGTCCCAAAACTGCAAAACACTTCAGTATTCAAACTGACCCGATACACCCTGAGGATTATAGAATATGGTTTAATTTAAATATTGTTTTTCTCTGTGTAAATTCTGCCCTGATTATCTATACTTTACTAACATATCGTTACTATGACTTCTGTAAATTCTCGCGTTTTTTTATACTCAAATTTGTTTAAGCAATTATAATCACACTGATGCCTGTCACTGGTCAGCAGTGTCAGAATCTTTGACACACTTGTGTGTTTTTGTGTTATACTACGATGGTGGCAATCCTTCCTTGATGGACTTAACAGCCTAGTCCCTCCTACATCTAAAAGGGGCAAGGAGCGTGGAGGAAAGGTGGAACGCTGGTGGGGAAGTGAGGGGGGAAGTCAGTGATCCAAGGAGCACTTTAACAAATTTACATTTAATTTTAGCAGAAGCCTAAAGATATTTTCCGGTAAAATATATTAGCAACATTAAAAATGTGACTATTAGCTAAACGTGATAGTTTTTTTTTTTTTTTTTTTTTGTCAAAAATAAAAGATGGCGTATCTCTAGCAGTAAGCCCCGGAGCACAGGATGTTTTATTAATGCACGAGCTGCGGTTCAAATCAGAGGCTAATTTTTAATTTCTTCACATCGTTCACTTCTCTCTCTCTCTCTCTCTTAGCCTCGAGCGCTTTAGAGGACTTCTCTCTCTCCCTCTTCGTTCCCCTCTATCTCTTTGTCTCTCAGTCTTTTCATTCCCTCACTTTTCCTTTCCTCTTACCCTAGTCCTACCATATTTTAAGGTTATGGGCACACAAGTACACCTCTAAACCAACCGCCTTTACACTAATCAAATCAATTTATCTAGATTGGCATGTATATGCTGACTCTCTTTCTGGTCCTAAAGTGGTCCCTGGGCAAAAATATGTTCTCAACATATAAAGGGTAAATATAATATATAACAACCTGTCCTTTCATATTTATACCACATTTACCAAAAGGTTAAATTTGCTTGCTCTTGTTACTGAGGAAGCTGTTGTATGGCGCTTTAATATCAGCTGTAAGGTCTCTTTAAAAGTAGTGAAAACTGTACTGTAGTAATGACAAAATACAGAAGAGGAAATGTGTTACAAAGACAAAAGGCAGTGATGTCAAACTGTCTTAAGTCTCACATCCAGCAACATTTTTTTTTTCTTACCTGACTGACTCATTTTTCATAGTGACTCCTTCCAAATAGCTTTTGCGTGCATAGAAGTTATGGATGTACTTCCTCACAAAGAATCCTCTCCATCTCCGCTGGATCTGTGAACACAGAGGTTTGACGGAAATGTTTGCATGCAACATGGAAAATGTGGCAGTACAGGAACGTTGTGCTTACGCTTAAATTGCTTTAAGTTATTGGATCCTGAAGAAAAGCTCTTTTATCTTGCCTGTACGACTTTGTATGTACAGCAAAGTGGCAATGAACTTGATTTGATTAATTAAAAAAAATAAAAACCATTTTCATACAGAAATTGTTTCAGTGCCTAACACTCACTTATTCTGTCTTCTATAAAGACCGTAAAGTGTCAAAAAAGCAGGAATTGAATCAGTGGTGGCATTGCTAGAGTCTTTTTTGTGGTGCTTTGTTTCGTTTGGCGTCATTCCTCCAACTTCAGAAAAATGATGATTAAACATAATACCTGTGATGACATTAACATAAACAGCAAGATACGTTTCAACCTTGCATAGCCATGCATGCACTTTTTAGCCTATAGTGAAAGAGGGACAACCCAAGGTGGGACAGACAACTGTCACAGCTCCATATATTTAACTGTATCCGTCCACACTGATTGAGAAGGCTGCAGATTAGCTCGCACACACACCCACACACACCAGTGGACCATTTTAAAGCAAGGGGGCGGATGTCCTTCAGACTAATTAGGAGATTAAAACAATGGCAGGTAAAAGAATAATCACACTATGAGAAGAAGTGGAGAGAAGAGGAGGAGTGGAGGATGGGGGGAAAAAAACAACAAAGAGCAAAATGAGAATTAGCATTGATCTGCCAGTCAATAGATAATTTTAAATAAAGTAATTGCCGCCTCCCGAGTTCTTGCTGACCTTTGTTGACTAGTGAAATCGATGCTGTTGAATCTAATACAAATCCGAGGTGCGGCATGTAAACACTGGTTTCTATTACGGCCTTAATACATTATCCTCTGTTAGCTACCACACCGTGATAAAGACAACAGGAGGGGAGAGAAAAAAAGAATAGAGTCGAAATTGATTCAAAGGAAATGTCACAAGGGGATTCTGAGATGATTGCTTCTCCCTTTGTGTCTCTCTTTTTCTCTATTTACACAATGAATACTTCTCTGGCAAAGGAGTATAGATGTCCTTCATTCATTAATTTCTGCAGTGTCTCCCTCCTCAGTTTCACACTCATGAACAAACAGCATTGCTCGATTATGTGCAGAAGGAACATGTGTCAGAAGACATGAGATTAAGACTGTATCTGTAACTCTGACATAAAAAGTACAAACTTTCAACAGGTGGCAACATGAAAAGGAAAATCCTAGGAACTGGACATATTTTCCCCCCAATTCCCTTGTATTATTTACAACAATTTATAACTTTCTGAATTTTTTAGCTAGATTTATTCCATCTGTCTGGAGAATTTGGTCTCCACATTTGCCCCATGATATCTCTTTAGGATTCTCTCTGTGGGCAGTGCACAGTGCAGCGCCCAGGGACCGACTCTGCCTCTGAGGCCAAAGCCTGGGTCAAGGGCAGTGGGAGAAAATTGGAGCACTTGGAAAAAAAAAAAAGAAAAGCCCCAGACAAACACAAGAACACACTCTGCACAGAAAAGCCTCATTTGGCCCTTGTGGGGTTTAAACCCGGTACTTTCTTGCTATGTTGACCTCTGAGCCACCGGTTCTTTTCACACAATTTTCTATTAAAATTCCTATTGTTTCCGAAAGGAAACCGTGGTTATTTTAAATGGGTAATAAAAGCCTCTCCTCTCTAACTTCAGAAGCTTCAGCTTTGCTTTACATGGTGACATCACCTCTAACCTCTCACCCTGCGACCTAAACAGCTGGGTCACACACTACTCCTGGATCTCTCTTCTAATGTGACATTTATGGAAACAGCAGGGTGGTCAGCTTTATTTGTTTGGGTTTCTATTAGGTGTAAAACTTGAAGCCCACAATTTCTAGGCTTTTCCGCCAATATGAAAATATTGTAACCAGCTACGTCCAAGCTGGAGAGCGACACACCCTCAATAAACACTAGTGAGGTTTTTTTTGTTGGTCTATAAAACCCTTTAATGCTTTAGGCAGAGTGAGACTGTTAGCCGAAAGACTAGACTATAGGCTATATGGAATTGTAAAAATATAAGGTTTCTGTGCAATATCCTTGTGTAAAAGTGCCAAAGCATCAGTCACAGCCACAGTGCTGTGATTTATGGGTGGAGCTGCAGTAGCTGCTCGGAGGATAGAGAAAACATTTGATGGGCATGAGCACTGAGGAAAAATAAAAGCTAAATGCTGCTAAAGCTGAGATACAAGCTAGATATTAATATAAATTATAGCATCCAGAAGAAAAGGTTTAAGATGTTATATTAAAAGCGAACCATGCTGTCATGTCCACTGACATGTACATGGCCATTATTCTAATGGTCATTTTGAATTAGCAAACAAGCATAATCTTATTTTTTAAAAACTGATTCTAATAAGAGATGCTGTTAAAAAAAAATGAAACTACAGGAATGTCAAGATCGTACCATGTGTTAAAAGCAATAAAAAAAGAATTTCCTATTATGGACAATTTTTGCAATGAAGTGGTGTGATGAAGTGCTTACGGGCTGCTATTCATGGGGGCTCCCATTCACAGTACACGCAGAGCAACAGAGTGTCCCCCCACCACGACACTCCATTTGCTAAAACAAGACACTGTGGTGATATTTACCCTGACCGCCATCTCCTCGTAGAAATTCATCTTCATGATAAAATATGCCGCCTGTGAACACAAAGGAAAAGATGGCGTTACATCTTGTCTCCCGGCCCTCTGATCTGTCCACAGCAGGCGTCAAAGATAAAGAGCTCTTTATACATAATACATTGCACAGAGGCAGCGCAGATAGGGCCACTGTAGAGGGGAGGAGGGGGGAGGTAGGGAAGGGGGCAGAAAAGGAGAGAGGGAAAGCAAGAGAGACAAGAGGAATGAGGAAAAAGTCACGGCGATGGAGAGAGAGAGAGGAAGAGAGGGAGAGGAGAAGAGGGGGAGAGAGAGTGGTTAGTGGGACTTTGTATCAAGGGGAGGACGGTACTCTCTTAATACACCAACGCAGACAAGGGCCAAGAAAATCCATGGTAGTCAAGCAGCGCGCTAATGGAGATGTATGACGGCCAAACGCTCTCCTCTGGATTTCATAATCAATGACAGCGCTGCCACAGAAGAGACTAACAAAAGGTCCAGAGAATATTCAGCAACACACTCAAAGAGCCGCTGCACACCAAACGTGCCAGCCGACCACTGGGGGCACATTTCAGGAGCAAACTGGAGTGTCGGGCCATAAAAGGGATTCATATCTCAACACGTCTTTTTTAATAACGACAGGGAAGAGAGGAAAAGGGGAAGGAAGACAAAGACTTGAAAGGAGGTTGTAAATTCAGCTTGATGTTTTGAGAAGAGGCTTTGTGCACATCACATTACACATGATAAGGTCTGCAAGAGAGAGAAAGACAGACATGGAGCGATATAGAAGGTGAAGAAAAGAATCTCTCTGGGCTAATTATTCAAAATACTGCACTGTGGCAATTTTGAGTGATTCAAATTAGTGCTCGTCTGTTTCCAAATGAGACCAAACAGACTCTTTTTAGCCCATATGTGTGTTGTGACACATCCTTCATTGTTTATTTCAACACAACCCCCCCCCACCCTCACACACACACACACACACACACACCCCCACCCCTTTCCATTTCTTGAATGCCTCCCAAACGGCGGCTGGCAGTTATGCTTTAGCAAACAGTCAATTTACAGGCATGATAAATAGCTTGTTGTGATACGTTTACAAAACTCAATCCAGGGGAAAATTATACGTGAGAGCGCTGGGTATTGGATCCGGTATCAACAATCTGTTCAATTAAGAAGCAGTTGGAGGCAATATGCTGAAAATGGGGCCTTGTTTTACTAAAGCACACACACATATACACACACACGCGCTACACACACAACTCTTTCCTTCTTTTCATTTTTCACCATACTCTTTCCATATGCATCCAAGGAATTGCGATGTAGATGGAATTCCTTATCATATTGCATCATTTTTCCTAAGTGCTAATTTCCCAATGTGTAATGAGTGAATTATATTTCTTAAGGTCAGACGCAGGGGACTTAGGAATATAGCAATTGAATTCTAATGCGTGCTATCATAGCATAATCAATATATCTATAGCCGTTCCAGGCACTGGCTTACCTTCACCATTTGTCTGACACGTGCCCTTGCTGTGAAGCCCCGCCATATCTTCTGTATAATGATTGCCTTCTTGTGCAGATGGCTGTAATAAAACCATATTGGGGAGAGGATTGGATGGTTATTTTTTAGTAGTTGAAATATGGGAAACCCTGCAAAAAAAGTTATTCAGGTACGCATAGAGGGAGAAGTAATGTTGGATTTCTTTGTTTGATCATTAGCTGGGCTGTTTATGCACCAGAAATGATCCAGTTTGGCATAAAACAAAATCTAAAGCTGCATCCTTGTATGTGATGCAGTGGAATTCATTAAGTCACAAATTTCCCCTAAAATCACTTGTGTTGAAATAAGCAGTGATCTCTTTTTTAGAGGGAGAAGCAAGAAAGGAAACAGTCATTTTCTGCATACAAATCTTAGGCTGTAAAAGGACTTAAATTAAAAGGTCAAGAAACATTACACTTACAAATACAAGCTCTCACAAAGACACACACACACACACATACACACAGAACATTCCTGCTCTTCCAAGCTTTTCGATCATGTCCGATGAGCCTTTCACCCCCTTTAGTCAGCGGCACACATTTGTATTCATCTTCAAACATACTCTAAATGCAAGTCCACTGCGATTCTCTGCCTCCAATGAGGCCATCAATTTCCAAAAGGCCATTTATATGCCCAGAAAATCAATGCTTATAGTGGGGATAGCACAACCCTGGAGTTGCACTTAGGCAGCTAAAATTGTTGCTAATTATCCACTTAACGCATTGATCAATTAACTAAAGTAATCTGAATTAACCTACTGTCTGGAAGTTTGTCTGCTGACCCTGCAGAATGGTGCTGGGGTCACAGTATAGGAACAAGCACACAGATAGAGACATTCATTTCTCTGTGTGTGAAAGGAGCACAGAGTGCAAGCGACATTTATTCCTTGAGGCCATTTGCAAAGCTCTAGAAGTGGGATAATTATGGGAGTGAGCTAATATCAGGGTTTCCCTTGAAATTAACTCTTCGAGCCCTGTCTAAATGTTTTACAACCCCCGAAGGAAAACCAGACCCCAAATTGGTGTATAAAATATTAAGTTTGTGTTGTATTGTTTGGCATATGAAGGATCACCAAAAGTACATTTTTTTTTATGGTTTACAGAATTAGATCACACTCACTACAGACACTGTACCTGAGGTAAGCCCGCACCTTGCAGGCTCTGAACCAGCTCTGAATCCGGGTGGCGGCCTGGTTCTCCTCCTGTCTGGTCTCCTGGGCTTGGCTGAAGTACACATAAAAAAGCATCAGTGCTCCACAGCTGGATTATGTCACTGTGATATTGCACTACATTCATCAACATGCCACACATTTTGATATTAAGACCCATGAGCATGAAAGTGCTTCAGACTTTGTTTGCCATTGTTATTTGACCATTTCATATGCATAAAACTAAACATTATAGTTTTTAAGACTAAAGGCTTAAACGACAAACACGGTTATCCTGGTATTTTGACACATCCGGGTTACTTACTGCCTCACCGCGGTGTAAACAAACCAGAAGCTGGCCAAAAACGCAGAATATTTCACGTTTCCGTCCTCTTCAATTCGTCATTATCGTGCTCAAAAGTTGTGAAGCAATTTATTGCACGTCTCATAACATGAAGGAGGATTTTTTTTCCAAGTTCCCATCAAGCAAAAAAATCTCCAGAACGAAGGACGACAGCGACGGGAGCCCAGAGGAACACCTCGCTGTGACAGGTATGGTGCACCCTGCGTAAACCCGAACTTAATTTTACCTACGTATATATTCCTATTTTATATGACTGCAGTGTTGAAAGCTATAATAATATATGCAGGTGTTTTGGGTAAGGCCTTACTCTTCAGTCTGCTATCTGTAACATTTTAACCAGCTTTTGGACTTGTGAAATACCAATTATGGTTGTCGTGAAATATTTAAATTTGATTTAAATGCAGTTGCAGTTTGACCTGTTGACAGAGGACAGGCTGACAGCCCGTACACATGGTTTTGTTTTCTCCACACTGTCACGTCATTGACATACTAGCTGACATTCCGGGTACCGTTAGCTAACTTGCTAGCTGCCAAACCAGCCGTCCTTCACACATGAACAAAAAATAATCACAAACATGTTGTAGCAGCCGATGAGACACACCTGTTTCTGTAGAAGTACTCCTTTGGAAACTCTTTAATTTCACTTTGAAGTTTTAGCAACTCCGCCATGTCCACTCAAACCGGAGTTTACACGTTGTCTTGGCAACACAGCCGTATCTCGCGGCAGGCTGCTGGAGATGCGTTCAAACATGTGGGAAAAGTGAAACTTCTTTCTGACATAATGAATACTTCAATGTATTTCCCGCAACAAAACACTGAAACACGTGTCTGACTTACATCGATACCGTGTAAACTCTGTACAGTCAGTCTATGTACAGCACGTTTGAAAATGTTTGTCGACATTATCTGGCAGGTTGAAGGAACCTGCTCACAAGTATGTAATCAGCCTGGATGGAGACCTAACTTACACAATCGCCCCTTTTGTTGCCAAGTTTAAGGAAATGAATGAATGAATGAATAAGCATCTATTTCTTCTTTAAAAATTATTCTAACACGTTGTGACTATATAGTCCCTAACTGTTATAAACTACTCTTCAGACGTCACTTTAATTTTTATGAGATTTGTAATAGAAAAAAAAAATCTTCAAAAAAAGTTGATTGAAATAAAATCAGTGAACATAGGATGACAAGTTCTTTGTCATCATTTATTTATAGAGAGCTCTTAAAACAAAATTTATGGTTAAAGCCACATTTACAAAATGTATTTTATTGCACTTAAAAGTTTTAATATGTTGAGGCACTGGGTCAGCAGCTTCCCCGATGTGTTTAATGGACTGAAAATAATTGTGGAAAATGCCTTATTCATCAATCTAAATCATAGTCACCAAAGCTAACACATAACAAAAACAAAGCCTTTTTTTTTAGTGTCCTTACACACACACAAAAAAACATACTGGACTTAATGAAATGCAACAATGTCATTTATTTATTTAGTCTTCCAAGCTTCCAACCCACCACCGCCACCTATCTACTACACTGAAGCAAAAATAACATTGAAAAAAAAAAATCCCAGAAAAAGACTTCTTTAAAATGCTGCTCTGTGGATGCAGATTGTGGATCTGTGTATTGATCTGCCAGCTGCCTCACTTCTTCCATCCATCCCTTCATCTATTTTCCTCCTTCCCTGACGTTATCACCCTTCATCATACAGTTATCAGTTTATTTCTCTCCGCTCTTCCTTCCCCATTTCCCCTCATCTTCACTCCACTTCTCTTCAGTCATATTCTCCTGTCAAAATGATCACCTCAGCAGGGTGTATGTGTGTGTGTTGGTGTGTGCATTTTTGTATCTGTGCGAGAGAAGACATCTGTCTGGCCAATGGTCAGAGGAAAATGCTGTCTGTGTTATAGATTACTCCTTAGAGACAGGGAAACGACAAATAGCGAAAGTGAATGAGTACGTGTCCGTCTCCGTGCTCTTTCATGTCTGTGTGCCGGTACATGCCTGCTTTCTACTGCGAGCTAGGCGGTGGTGCTTGTTTGAGAGTCTTGTTTGAGTCTCTCTGTCTTTCTCCGAGGCCAATTTGCTGTCTGAGGGCCACCACGGTGTTGAAGAGCAGTAGGCAGACATCCTAGGTAGAGTTATGGCTGGAGGGTCGAACCCATGGTTGCTCAGCTCATCCATCGAAGGGCGGTAGGAGGGCGGCCACCCTGGTAATTACTGGAGAAATGTTGTTGTGACAAGAGGGTATGAACAGCGTATGAGCGAGAGAGAGAGAGGGGGAGAGAACAAGAGAGAGATTTTTAGGGAAGTGTTGTTTTTGACGAGACTGTAAGGACGGCTGGAAGCTATTCGTCCTGCCACAGCACTGATTAGGTGTCACCAGGTGCGTATCTGTGAGAGACCGACACAGAAAGGAGAGCACTTCATAAAAACACATGCTGTTTACATTCTGTCTAATGACCCACTTCTAGACCCAGCCCGATTCGCATCCTCACCGCATCCTTCTACATGTGCAACACACCCCACCGTCGAGTCAGGTCCTCCCCCATTCCTCTGCACTTCTACCTGCTATCTGCACTTTTCTTTTTGCTTTCCCGCGTCAGTCCTCAGTCAAAACATTTTCCTTGCTCAGTGAGGCAATAAGTCCTTATCCACGATTACCCATGTATACCCTCTCTCTCTCTCCCCATCTCCCTGCATCTCTCGCTCCATCTCTCCATACGGGGCATGTCATTTAACATGCCTCCAGTCACCTCTCACAGTCAGGAAGCTCATCCAGCCAGTCATTCTCCATGCCCATTGTTCCTAAATGAGGGCCATATGCGCTGTGGCCAGCACTGGTCATAAAGACACACACACACACACAGTTACCAGTGGAGTTACCAGTGTCTATGGGTGTGTGTGTGTGTGTGAGACTGTCACACATTGCTCTGCACAGTGCGTGTGCATGAATCATTATTGTATGTGTCAGTGTATGAGCGATTATTCATAAGTGTCTGTGTACGCGGGCCTGTCTGTGTGTTTTGCAGCGTGTCCGTCGACGCATGTGTGTTCCTGCAGCCACAGTAGGGTGCGGCGGGCGGAATGTGTGTTTCTCGGCAGGGCCAGTTCGGCCATTATTATTAAACATCTGTCCGCAGCACATTAATTCCCCCACTCTGACGCATCCCTCTCTGCCCAGGGATCACTTAATTGAAATCCATAATGACTCTTTCTTCTCTTCTCTCCCACACTGAGCAAAGTGAAGCAGGGAAATATATTTAGGATGAAAACGACATTCGTATCAGCTATTATCTAATCATTGGGGCACTTTTGAACAGACTGATGCAATTTAAAGGCAGCACATGATATTCTGAATTTGTGGAAAAAAAAAAGAAATCACGATGACTGTATTTCCTGACATATTGCAGTGATAAATCAAGATAATGGGTTTATTTGCGTCTTTTTGGTCCCAAAACAGTTTTAAATAACATACAGAAATAAAGTAGCATGATAAGAAAACATAGAAAAACATAAAAGATGAGAACAAATAGGACTGAGAAACAACAACATGCTCAGCTTATATGCATCATGGATGATAAAAAAAAAAGTTATTTTGGTTGAGATCAGCTCATTATATCTGCAAACAGCACAGTCACTGTTGTTTCCTTTTGCACAAATCTTGTTTTCAGAATCAAAACAATGTCAAACTCCTCATGTTTGCAAAGAATTGGCTCTCAAATGTCCAATCTGCATGTGAGGTATATACATCCTTTGTTGTCATCTTTCCATTTGTAGACATTTGTCTGTGGTTTTCATTTTAATTTTACAATATACAGTCTTATAGCAATTCAACTTTCTGTGCCACTAACTAAATGTAGACCTGCATGGAACAAATTGAGGGCGTAATTAAACTTTTAAATTCAAACAAAATACAAAAAGGAAAAACAAGAAGCTACTCAAAAAGCGAAAATTTTTAAAAGCCCTCAATACAAAGGTGGGAAAAAAAAAAAAATATTTTTCTGGGTAAACTTAAATGCTCATGAAGCATTTGTTTCTCTTTTCTGCAATAAGTTTAAAAAACACTGATTCTTTTTTCATCATCCAGTTTTATTGGATGCTATGTGGCATTATTTGGGGGAAAAATGGAATTCCCCATTACACACACAGAGCTAACTCCAAAAAAAATAAGCACTTCCAGTTTGAACACTTGGCCCTGGTCTTCTGGTTTTAGCAAAACTCTGCAAATTGTTTCTTCATATTTTCTACCTGGGGGCTGATGTTACTTTTTACAGTGGCAGCGCTTTTACACCAATTTAAAGCCATCTATTTTTCCCTCTCCATCCCATCCCCTTTCCCTTCCACCCTTCCTCATTCCTAATATCTTACTAATGGATAAAAACTACAATTCTGCTGCTAAAGGAGAAATATCATACCTTTATTAGCTCACCTATACCCAGAGAGAGAGAGAAGGGAGAGAGGGAGAGAAGTAATGAATTGAGCATTGTGTAAAATAGTTTAATGCAGGGGTGGTTCATCATTATTTGTGGCGGATTGCGTGCAGACAGGGGTGATCCATTAGTGTGGTCGTTTCCATCTGTGTATGCGTGTCTCAGTGCATGTGTGTGTGTGTGTGTGTGTATGCGCGTGTAGGTGTGTGTGTGGGTGTGTTAGTGTGTGTGTCCCACCCAGAAGGACATTCGCTGCTGCCGGCCCCACTGTCACAATGAGAGATTCATCACCACACACACACACACACACACACACACACACACACACACACACAAGCAGAGGCTACAGTACACATGTGGCATTATTGTTCCATCATTACTCCTCTCATTCTTCTTTGCAACAATTTGTCATTTTGCTGTCTGTGTTGACACACACGCAGAGATTCATCTGGCGAGCAGGGTTTCTGTGTGGACAGTCCAGGACCAGAATTATGAACATTAAACTGGATTTGAAAAAAACAAAAATCTAAATCTAGTGAAGCCAAAATAGAAAGCAAAAGTCATAACATTCCAAACATTTTACTGCACGTGGGTTCAAGTAAATCATGTCTAAGCTGTCTTATTAAAACAATGTGTAAGGAAATTAGAGATATTTACATTGATTTTAAGATTTGAATTCAAGTTTAATTTAAAAGTACAGCCACATCGCTCTATCCACTAACTTACTGTGTGTTATAAACTCCTGTGTTCAAAGTGCTTTTTGCGTAATTCTCCAAACCTGCAAACCTACCTCAACGAATACTGTGACCTTCATCTCATACAACCTGCAGGAAGCTACACTCGTGATATCGTCGTCTTATTTTTGCACCATCTTCCCTGAAATGTTCATGCAACTTACAAAAAGTCCACTTCAACCCTAAAATGCATTTAAAATGTCAGTCAAATTTTATATCTATGTGCAAGTTTGTGCACAACATATACAACTCCAGGTTCAGAAACAAAGGGAACATGTTAGTGAAGTCTAATTTGGAAGCACTTTGGCAGATTTTTTATTTTTTTTGGTTCCCCCAACATGGAGGAGAAAAAAACACAATGGAAATCAAAGAGGGCAAGAATAGAGTCAGATAAAGAGAGACATTTTTTGTTGCATGATTGCCACATCTGATGACCATCCCTTTTACTCCCACACATTCGCGCCCACAATCACTCTCTCCTTTCAAAATAAAACCCTCAGTAGTTTAA